TCCTTATCTAATGGTTTCAAAGTATCTCCATAACCTTAAAGTAAGGAGTTTACCTTTAGTTAAGATGTATGGAGATATATAAACATTAACTGTTATTATTCTGCTCACTTTTCAAATTGGATAGTCACATTAAGATGACTACATCCAACTTCCTGCAGTTATAAACAGATTTGCCTCTTGTAATCTCAAAATAAAATAAGGAAGGTCATCCAGAAGAGAGCAATATTTTATTTGGCATCTCAATGCTGTTATACTAGAGTTCTCAGATACCTAGGTATCTGCATCAGAGCTGATCTAAATAGAAATACTGAAGTTCCTGTTAAACTGAAAAAAAAATAGAGGTGCACTTACCCTTTCCAAACAGTAGTTATGCTCAGGGCTACCACCCCCTGGCAGTGGCTGAGGCCTTCCATTAGTACCACTTACTGCAGATCCAGGTGAGATCACTTGAAGTAGGGAGCAAAGGTAATTTTCTGCCACTTATCAGCCACCTGATCTTAGCAGCAATTGGGGCTGAATGGCATAAAGGAGTGAATGTTACTCTAATGTGCATAGGCTGTGATTATTCCTTCGGTTCTGCCACCTGCAGAGCAATCCTCTTCCTCTCCCTTCAAGGCTTCTTCCCTTTCTGTGCAACTCAAGGGGAGCAGTCAAGGCCGAAGGAGCTGACCTTGAGTCTTGCCCTTATACTGTTTCTGGTATTTATAGTGGTAAATGAACACACAAGCATTTAGCAACGATGGTAATTTCTTGCCTTCTTTGGCAATCTAACCCTTTGTTGAATTCCAGAAAACTGCATGTTTCTTATACCTGTACCATGCATTTTCTTGACAGAGACTCGTGGCTGCTGCGAAGGATGTGGCTGTACGCTGTTAGCGCCAGCAGCTGTCATGCAGCAAAAGATACCTCTGACTCCTTTATTACAAGTGCTATGCGTGCCCAGAGATGGGCTGAGGGAGAGCGTTTAGGATCTGTGCTGTGCGCTTCGCTTGCACGTATAGAAATATATCTTATTATTCTGCACCACCAAGTGGCCAGATGGAGCAGATTTTGCAAGAAACCTTTTGGTCCAGGCTTAGCATATGAACCCAGAGTGTTTGGTTATGTTACGGAAGTTCATGTTGGCCCAAACTAGCAACTATGAAAAAAAATCCCATTTGAATATAATGCCTAATGGTTTGGAAAGAGGAAGTGTCACGTTTGCTCTGACATCCCCTACAGTGTGTTGTCAGAAAGACTTCTTTTCTCGGGTCAAACAGGGATCTTGGGTGGGCTGCACACCTGAAACTCAGGCATGTTTTAATATTTCAAATTAGTAACTCAAAACTGGCAGATAGCTTTGTAAATATGAGGCCAATATTTCTGTATATCACATGAAGTGGTTGTGTCAGAAGTAGGAAGAGAATGCACGTCTTTATTCTTTACCATTAGAATTTAATCCCAATATATTTTAAAAATTTAAAAATAAAACATGGCATTTCATCCAGAAAAATGCATAACATGGTCTAAACAGGAGATTTTTTCCCATTCTTTTGTACCTTATGTTCCTTGTGCACAGGAGGGTTCAAAGCTGACCTTTGAAGTAGTCACTCTAGAGGTACAAATCAGAGCGAGGTCAGCCACTGTCCAACATCACTTGTCCAAAGCCTCCCCGTGATGTAAGAGCTGATCCAAACTGACCTGTACCAAAGCCTCTTCCATCCAGCTCTTCACAAACTCCCATTTTCCTGGGACCTGTTATTGCAGGAGATAGGAAGAAGGAACCAGTCTGGCCCTTACATACTGCTGAAATGCTAATAGGGTTGTGTACACACTATCCTAAGTCCTATATAGTATAATATACTAAAATTATAAACTTCATATATCAGCCACATTGATAACATGATGAGAGATATAGATGTTAAGAGTTTGGTCACTGGCTGAAGATCTTCAGCAATAATTTCATAAATAGTATTTCTTTAACTAGGATTTTACTTAAGTCTTATTTCAGAGTGTCACAGGGGTAAGAGACTTTGCTAAGTCTCATACCACAGGTCTTTGTTACCTGGATTTTTACAGACCACATGGATAGGTACTCACAGGAACCCAGGTCACTGCTTTATGCCTTCACGTATTTCAGTGGGAGCCAGGCTTTTAACCTGCCTAGATATCTCAATCGGTCCTTTAGTTTCCAAATGTTTAGGTCCCTAAATATTTTTCAGTGCCCAGGCCTGTAACAATATTCAGACAGTCTAATTCCATTGTGTCCCTGTGTATGGAGGTGCAGTTTCCTATTGCATGTGTGACTCTAGTTCTGTGAATTGAGCCTTAGAGGCCATCAAAGAAAACTCTCTGCCTTAGGCACGTTTGGGGTTGGACAGAGGCCATCCACATAAAGCCTTGATGCCTGTGTTTCTTTTGAAAGAGGAATTTTTAAGTCCCTCATAAACCCCAAGGTTATAGTAGCAAGCATTGGTCCCGACCTCTGTGTGTTCCCTAATGGCTGAGGAACTGAGAAGTAAAACTGGGATGAAGGCACTCAAAAGGCTCGGATGGGTTTTGTGTATGTGCCTTGCCATTCCAGTTGTAATGCACAGCAGTACAGGCGGAACCTAGCAGGGATAAAAGCGGATGTTGAAAAACTAAACACGAATGCTGGAAGTGTAAGTGTGCTTCTGATTATTTAAAGAAGAACAAATTAAAAAGGAAGAATAAAGAGGAAAGGCACTTGTCTAGAGTGCAGCAATGCCTGGAGACCTCTGCCATGATCAGAGTGGCATTGTGCTGAGCATGCTGCGAGGAATTAGCAAAAGATTGCTCCAGGAGGACTTGCACACCAAATAAGTAAATCAGTCAAATATGATAGTCCGCATTTTACAGCAGATGCTGAGAAACAGAGATGAAGTGACTTGTCTGAGAATAGATTCCAGATTTGACTGCGGCTCTGCGCACATCTCCACCTTTGAAAGCAGTGCCACGCTGGGAGAAGAAAGCGTTGGCTACCACTGAGGAGTCGGAGGTCACAAATTGGATGCCGTGTTGTGCTGCCAGACGGACGGGTCCTCGCTTTGCCAGTCCGCAGCCTGCAGTAGGGATGGCAAAGCACGTGGCGGGTGTCTGTTCATCGGCTGATTGCGTTCAACCCGCGGCAGCACTCCCGCAGCGGCAGGGTGATGCTCGGGGTTAAGGATTTGCCAGCTTTAATCTCCGAAATGACAGCAGTTGCAAGGCGCTGTATCTATAGGATCCCAAATTGTAAATAACCGCTTGCAAATGTCCTTTGACACCGAAAAAGACAAGGCTTTACTGCTTGAGAATTGCTGTAAATTTAGATTGAAAGTCCCTTCTTTCCGACAAGGCGGCGGCAGCGGCAGGAAGCCACCACCGCTCACGTGCGCTGCTAGGGACTGCAGTGCCAGCGACTGCCATTGTCATGGCAGCTGGAAGCTTTGTAGACCACCTCTAGTAGACCAGAGGTACAGAATGGCGTGACAGATTTGTCTTCCTCCAGTTTTGTGCTGCGTGCTAATTTCCCTTCTACACCTCAGTACGCAGTGAATGTCTTTCCCTGAAACTGTCGTCGGCGCTGGGTCAAGCAGGCTGGATGCTGCTTGCTCACCTTCTCTGCTTCATCCGCAGGATCCATATGTCATTCCTGGGATTAAACCCTGGCACTGTCTGGAGTCAATGAGAGTTTTGCCAATGATTTTCAGGGCAATGAGGATTTCATCCTTTGTTCATCCTGTTCCGGCTGGGCTAACGATGTTCAATTAGAAACTGCTCTTTGTTCTAGTGCAGTCAAGAGGATTTTTGCCAATGATGTGAATGAGCATTGGATAAAGCTTATGGCTAAATCCAGTCCTTATGCAGAAATCCATGGATCCTACTGAATTGCTTTTCTCCCAGTGAAATTAATGGGAGCTGTATGAGAACATCTAAGGGAAGATTTAGTTCCTGTTTGTAACAATATGTTACCCCCTGATACTGGGCCTGCTTTGAAATGTTTATTGTTAAATCCATGTATTTTTGGTTATATCTCATTAAGAACATAATACAGCCTTGGAAAGTACATTCTGAAAGGGTATTACAACAGGATTGGGATTACTGTTTGTGAGACACTTTTAACTAGGGGGAAATTTCAAATTCAATTTACAGTAATGTCAAAGCACAATTAATATATAGGCAATGATAAGGGGAACATGCAGAAGTACACATTGATAGCACTACATCAACAAATAAACTTTTGGTGCTAGTAATTAGGTACACAAGATTATTATATGTTTAATTGACTAAAGTGACAATTTGGAATTACATCTAGTCGCATTTAATTGGATTTGGAATCTCTAGAGGAAAGGAAACGGAGAGCAGCGTGGAGAGGCAGCCATAAAAGCAAACTGATTTTCTAAAGTCTGTTAAGACTCTGCATTAATATCCATTGCACAGTGGTTTTTTTAATATCCCTCAGCCTAGAAAGAGTAATGCAATGATTGTCACAGACAGTGGGAGTATTAAAGCATACTCAATTAGATACCAAGATAGCTGATTACTTTTGGTTTGGGTGGGTTTTTTTAAGATATAGTTTAATCAAAGGTGAGCTGTGTCTGAGTTTGCCATAGACAAGTGATATTCCCAGACTGCCAAGCTACAGGGTGTTATACGTGTTCATGTTGTCCTAGAAGAAATGTACTTATGTATGAGAGATTTTACCCACAAACACTTTAAAGCAAAAAAAGAAGAAAAGCGAGACTAAAATATTGTATAGCAGTCATTAAATATTTGCTCAGAGTAAAATATGGAAAAAACTATTAAAAGAAAATGTAGGGATGTTTGCTTGCAGATGGTTTAGCTAACTAAAAAAAATGTTCATTAATGCTTGTCCTAGAGCTGGACAAAGACTGAGAGTTATGTGTAATCTTTTGATACAAACTGCATGTTACGGTCTTTTAATATTACCTCTTTTAAATACTGCTATATACATCCTTCTCTCCCTGTACACTCATTTATTCTGCTTTTGTCATCAGGAGCGCCATGATTGCTGACTATATCTACTGGCTGACAGGAGGAACTGAGCAGCATATAAGCAAGCTCATCAAACTGTATTGGCAGGTAATAATTGATAGCCCAATGAGGAAGGAGTTGCCCATCTCACTATTAAGACCAAAATGAAGGATTACTGCTTAAAAGACTGCCCACAAAGGTAGCTCTTGGGCACATCAATCAACAGGACACTATACAGTACTACCGTATTTATAATGAAGTAGATTTTCTTGGACTAATTTTAAGGGCAAAATTCAAGGTTGTTAACCCTTGGCTCATACTTCAATTTTATGGACTGCTATAAAATTTAGTTCTGGATACTGTATAGTCCCCTAAGCTATTTTTTGTGAAGTCTTGCTACCTTAGTGACACTTTCTTTCTGCAATTTGCATGATACTAATCCTCTGACACCTTTCCAAACTCTTCAACCGGAAGGGGAGGAAAAAATGACTGTAACAAATGGTCTCAGAGGAACCTAAAGTGCTCTGTGAAGGATGGCTAGGTAAGACCCCAGCCTACAAAGATTACTTATGTGGGGAGTAGACCATTGACTTCAATGAGACTCGTCTCTTGAGTGATACTTATTTGAGATGGCTGTTCAGCCACATCAGCAGAAATCTAACTTTAAGGGTACCCCCTTCTGCTCTGAGGAGAGCTCTCACACACTTGGAGGTGAATGCACACAAGATCCTTCGCTGGGAGAGGCTTATTGCTGCAGGATCTTATCAGTGCCCATGGTGTCCCAGCCTTCACAGCGCCACTTCAATGCAACCAAAATGCGTTTCCAAGGGACTGCGATGTTTGGGCCTCAGGTGGTAGAAGACCCTTCTGCCTCCCAGAGTGCATCTGGACCTCAGGTCCTTCTTGTCTGTACAAGGAATGTAATGATACCAGGAACGATATATGTCCCTTGTGATAAAATTTCAGAGGCTGATTCTGATCTCATTTATTTTGGGTTTATTCTGTGAGAATATCTGTGACATTGGTATTTTAAGTGAAGTGGTGAAAAATATGTCTGAGATAAGTCAGAGTAATAAAGATCAGAATCTGGTCTTCCACCTTCACTCACACGGTAAATTCTTCCTTTTTAAAACTATTATTAGTTGCTTTCTTATTGGTAAAATGGAATAAATCTCAGTCCTGGGAGCTGCTGAATTTCAGTACTGCTGTGAGTGCAAAGTGCATCTCATTCAGAGAATTACCCACTGGGCTAGTGTTTGCAGTGCCTGTGAACTTTCTTATATGCTTTCCAGCAGAGAATTTCTTCTGTACAGAGCAGTTTGATTTTTTTTCCCCACTGGGTCAGACTGGTTTAAAATCTCAAGTTCACAGACAGGTTTTATGAAGGGGTCATTTTTCGAGTGGAATGTCTTTTTTTGTCTCTTAACGCTGGCATCCATTGACTTCCCTTCTTGATGCCATGGACATGAAACTTCAAAGAATAAACCTTTAAAGGAGGAGCTGTCATAGCTGTCCTGTCCCCCAGGGGTTCAGACTGTCCTATGTAATAGGGCCAAAAAAGCAGCATGAAGGACAAGATTCATCATGATGTCTCCTCATAGAGTCTAAATCAGAAGCTGCGGTTGGGCTAAGGTGGGAATGAACCAGACCAGAAGTGGGGCTACTGAATCGCTTCCAGCCATTAGCATCGCCACGCAAAATTAGCATTGTTATACTAAATGATTTTGGCCATGGTGGGACTTCGGTTCACTACTGCTTCCATCCAGAGCTCACAGCTCATTTTTCTTCCTGGCACAGAGTTCATGCGTGGGCCTGCCTGGACCCCCATGGTACGAAAAAGCACCACCATGCTGCTCGTGCCCCATTCCCACTCTTTCTGTGCCTTTCACCTGAACCTGAGCTGCTGTCATCTTTGTCTGCAGAAGCTTTGAAACGTCAGTAGAGATCTAACCATTTGTTTGATCCCCCACCGTGCTCGATTTTCACTGGGAGACAGAGATTGCTCTGCAATTTTGTGCCTTTTGTGTGCATGCCTTAGCGTGGGCTAGGCTAAGGATTCAGCGGTATCTATATGCTGACACACACACAGTAGAGGCAGCTGGGTGCCCAGTACCGGTCCCACTCAAGTTAATAGCTAGCACTTAAGAAACGCTGTTCATGAAGATATATCCCCAGCAACAACCTTTTCCTTCCCGTGCTGATGAGTTCTGTGCGCTCGGCATCAGGGGTGACTTCAATGTCACCAGTGCGCACAGCAACAATTATGCAGTATGATGTAGCCTGTGACACTGCTCTGGGACTTTCCACCACAGAGAAACCAAGCAGAGGTAACAATCTTCTTTATTAATATTCTCTCCATTTCACAGTGTACAGCTGAAAATAACTTGTCACGACTATACATGCTCATGTGCCTTTGTAACCAAAGCAACAGCTATTGATGCACGCTTTTCTTGCTAACTACTCCTCTGCCCCAGAACTCACTAGCGTTGGCTCACAACCGTGAGGAACGTTTTCTGAGGAGGAAGGGAATAGGTGGTGAACAGGACAGTTTGTTTTCTAGTTTTGTGAAGAAAGATTTTGGGTTTAGATATGTCACACTCTGCTTTGATCAGTGGGTCATGTGTGTAATCTTCTGGTGTGTCATCGACTACTTCTGTTTCTTCTTTTCATGATTCTTTTAACTACTGGAAAAGGCTTTTCCTCCTCACAGTCTGTTTTCTACTTCTTTCATACCTTCAAAACGTTGTACAGACAACTCAAATCCTTCAGTTGACATCTTTACTGCAAAAAATTCAGGCCCTCAATTCACATCTGCAAAGCTCTTTATTATTTATCCTACTTCTAAATCACTGCTTTTTCTCTCCTGATCTATTCCTCATGCTCAGAGCAGTCTTTATCTTCTTGTATCTCCTTTGGTTTTCTTCTTCTGATTTGGTTTTATACTTTCCTTTGAACTTCATCTAGCCCTGACATCAACTGCCAGGAGTCCTCTTTCTTCCAAACCCTTCTTAAAACATCCCCAAATCGCCCCCCTCCCCTCATTATTACCTTTTAGATATTTGTATTCTTCAGCAGTGATCTGTTCTGTGTGATTGTGTACCTCCTCTCAGACACACTGCAAGGTTTGTAATGTCAAATTTTTAAGGCCAGATGGGCTCATAGTGACGAATTATCTGACTTCCTGCATAAAAACACCCCAGAATTTCGCTCCTACCTTCCTGCCTCAGTGTCAAAAGAGGCAAAGCAGAGACTTTATTGTGAGAAAGTTATCTAATCCCCATCTGAATAGTTTAGTAATAGAACATTTACCACAACCCACCTAAAAGATGATTTGTTGCATGGTTACCCCCTGTTTCTCCCTCAGTTTACAAACTGGGATCTTACTTGTCCAGTCCAAACTTCCAGCGATTTATATTATGCATTCATCTCTGAAAGCTTAAAAATCCTTTAGTACTTGTTATCTTCTCCCTGTATACATACCTATGGATCATGATCAAGGCAACTTTAAATATTCTTTTTGATTAGCTTTTTGATTAGCTTTCTTTGATTATCCCCTTTAAAGTAAATCATCTATTTCTGGATCTTCTGTACAGTGATATGTAATATCTAATGCCCTGTGTTGGTTTTGAATATTAATACCCACCTTCCATTCCACTCTGAGATAAAGGTATAATGCTGATGAGAGGTGAACAAGTAATTTGCAATGGATAATATCATTCAGTAAGCTGAGCCTTTTTCTCTGTTCAAATATTTCATTCCATGGATTGAAAATATACATTCCAAGTTAACATATAATCAACTGGATGGGCTTTTTTTCATAACCCACTACAGAATATGCACTGGATGATTTGTGTATTGGCTGTTAGATTAAAAATAGGTGAATTAAATAGAGTTCATCACAATAAATAATAATGTGAATGTTATTAAATGTATTATGGTAGATATCTTCAGGATGGCAGCAGCAACACAAAGTTTAAACTTACTTATTACTATAGCCAGATAAGGTCCCTGGCATTTATTGTCAGCAATGCAATTTCTCAGCTGGTAATAGCAAAACAAACAATAGACTTGAGATATTTCATCCCACAGAAAGAGTCCCTCTCCAAACCAACCAGTTTCACTCACATCTTATTAAACCCTTTCTGATGGCTAAAAATTGTGCAATATACTCTGGATGTTTCATTCCATCACACCCATACTGCAATGTCAAAAATGCCTAACATATTCAAACATGAACTTTGCAAGTATCTTGAAAGTCACAACCTGACCTCACCAACACCTGGCACAAACATCATAGTATAAAGTGCCTTTGTGATCTAATTTATAAACATCTCAGGCTTAACTCATTAGCACGCTACAAATTTAATTGCTGTTATTAATCCATTGTGCAAACCATGTGCTCTATTTTACACTGAAGGTCTAGTTCTAGCATCCATTATGCATTTATATCCAAAGTCAATCCCATCTAGCCAAACTCTTACACTAAGTGCCATTGCACCAGCAGCACATAGGTTGCAGAAACCAACAGAACCCCGGGAAGGCATTTCAAAGCTCATACATAGGTTCCTATCTGTATGCTGCCATAACTATCTATACCAAAATCCTTAATTGCATAACGTAGCCAATGTGTACTTGCTACAGCTCAAATGGAGACCTTTAATTTGCATTGGAACAAACTGGGCTTTTGCCTTAGTTCCAGGTCAACCCCAGTGTTTTGGCCAAGACTGCAGTCATCACAGAGCTGCTTTTAGCACATTGAAAACACTGGCTCTGTGGTTGCTGCACATGGAGCTCACAAACTTGTGTTTCTGAGCATATTTCTGTCAGCTAAGCTCAATGTCACAGAGAGCTTCCAGCAGCACATGCATTTGTTGACACGGAGGTTTGGGTATTCAGACATTTGTTTTGCTGTCTTGTTGCTGTTATGAACATCAGGTGCTTCCAGTTCAAAAATCTGGGCTGTAGCAACACACACATCACACAATAAAGCAAATGATAACCCAGCCCTGCAAGGTGGCTGAACACCTACAGCGCAGCGATGAATGCTGTCAACTCCTTTAGAGTTCAGCTTTATCTCACACCTTGCGGGGTGATGATCCAAGGCAAGA